CCATTCATTTCCCCAAGTCGAACGATAGCTCGTTTTAAAGCTTGAATTAAGAGCTTTCATTTAAATTGGTTTTTGTAATGATTCATGCGTTTCCTTCTCTAGAAAAATCCGAAAAACTTAATTTTTTGGGCTTGAAAAATCAAGCAATGATTTTTTTCACATTGAAAAATTACCAAAAACAGACTTAAATATACATCAAATGAAAGGTCTTGTTGAGAGCTCTCATTTGAGCCCAAGATCAAGTTGATCCGTTGCGTCTTTCAAAAGTTATGGCGGTCTGTGCGTTTGACCTTTGACCCCCTCCCCCCTCGCTGCTTGGAGGGCTAGACGGGAAAGGACACCGGATTTAGGCCTCTCCGATGATCCGTTATGATTCCTGAAAGTATGGACGTAAAATCTCGTGCGGTCATTTCCTATGGAAAATGGGACAGCCTCTCTAGAAAGTTTTGGGAGAACGAAAAAGGAGCCTCCTTGGTGCCGACTGTAGTGCTCGTTGAAACTCAAAAGGAGGATGGAAAGGAACCACTGGCCGCGGCCAAGGTACAGTCTACTATAGGTGTGGACAAATGGGGTGCCGAAGTGGCAGCCCTGAGAATATATAGGCCATCGAATGACGTCGTAAGTCGTACCGTCTTTGCCGCGCAGTTCAAAATGAGGGTCTGACAGATCTGGTAGCTTCAATAAGCTATCAGATGAATAGATCGTATTCGATTCATCAAACGGGTGAGATTGTATCGATGTCGATTGGTTCAAAACATAAACGTAGCCTCCAAAGTCTTCAGAGCTCCGAGGGAACAAGTCTTTTGTAGTAGATAATTCATTCTTTTGAGTACCAAATGCCCATGCAAAGTGAAATTGTTAGGAATTTTCTCATTTCCAGCTTTTTCAAATTAAATCATAGTAGTTTTATTTGAGGTTATGTTCTATTGTTTTGAACCGAACGATACATCGAACCATTATCGAATACGGTCCATTGAAAAACTTGATAAAACTCAAAATAACGAAAAAGTTAACAAAGAACACGAAAAAATAACACGAAATCGACGAGACCCACTCTCAGAACAGAAAGTAAATAAGTTTTCAATATGGCGACGCAGTCGTACCATTAAACGGTGTCAAATCTACGCGTTTCGAGGATTTTCTAAAAATCCATTTGTCCATACCTGTACCAGAGTGTACCTTGGGCCGCGGCTGTGTAGTGTTCTAGAAGCCGATGAGCGCGGCGCGGGTGGAGGGGTTCTCACGTGATCAATATGAGCTATCAATATCTCATCAATAAAGAGCGGCGCCGCTCTATTTTGATGCCTCGAGGAGCTGTGATTGGTCGTACAAGCTGCGCGCGCATTATGACCTCGCCATATTGATTGCTCATATTGATCGTGTGAGAAAGGCAATTCTGCCCAGCAGCCGGAGGGTGACGGGCGTCGTGGTGCCGGGAGGGTGAGGGAGGCTGCCACTGGGGGCGGTGAACGGTCGATTAATATAATGATTTCCTAGGAAAAATATGTTAATAAGAAATAATTACTTACTCGTGCGGTCGCTTAGCTCAAAAATGCACGATGATACGCGGTTTCCGGCTACCAACGTGATTTTGGTCTTAAAATGACCGTTAGACCCTCCTGATTCAGAAACCACCGGGAGCCACCCGCGCTCCCCCTGTTTCCCCTCCCCCTTTTGGCCGCCATCTTGGAAAATGGCGGCCAAAATCGGGTTTTTTTAAAATGTCTCGCAAACGGCGGCAGATATCAAAAAATTTTCTTAGTTAAAAAAGATTCAGCGTGAAAAAGCGGTATGAATGAAGTACTCATACGTGAATAATATGAGAGAAGGGAGGGGGGGAGGGGGAGGCCCGCCGCGCCGCTGCGCGCTCCTCTGCTCCTCAGCTGTCTTGCGAAAAACTCGCTGTACCGGCGGGCGCGCGTCATCACCCGAGGCGTTGCGCCCTCTGGTAATCAAGCAATTAATAACTGGACACTTGAATCTTCTTGCCTTTTTACTTGCTGTGCTCGGAAAGGTTGGTAGATATAGACAAATTTGAAACCAAAGTAGGTAAAGCACCTTAAATAAAGAATTAATAAGAAATAAATATTTAAGTATGAACTGTCATGAATGAACATACAAAATTAGCCATGAACAGGTAGAAAATTAGAGTCAGTCCTAAAGAAGAAAGTATAAAATAGAAGTATAAAAAGAAGTATAAAATACAAATAAATGTTAATAAAATACATTTTTGACGGAAGAGTAAATGGACTACATTTTGCAATTTGAAACTATAAATTCTAGCCCGGTTTAAAACCAACGTACGTGCCATTAGTTTCCCTACGCTTATCCGTGTTTTTCAAAAAGAGCCAGAATTTAAAGTTCCAAATCGCAAAATGCAGTCCAAATGTTTGGCATGAGAGGATAAATTCTTTTGGTATTCATGACCTAAGTTTTGCAATAAACTAATACGATATTAGTGCGGTTGTTTGAAAGATGGATTCAAAATTAGAGTGCTTCGGGCCAGTAAGTTGGAAATGCACACCTTTATGAGCATTGCCCATCCCATAAACAAAGTGATGTGCACTTTAAATTAAAGCGTTGGCACTTGCAATTTTTTATACACATTGTTTTACGTCCACAAGATATTAGCTCGTAGCACTCTTTCGAAGCCTCTGATAGGGTGGTCCACAGTGGCACGATGGCAAGTCCCTCAGTGGTCTTAGTTCTACTTGTCCAACCCCAAGATTTCACATCGGGAACAACTGGATTCAGTTCCAAGCAATGTTTCCAAATGTGAGTTTGGAGCATTGCTCTCCGCAAATGCTGGCGCAATGCTTCCTCAGTGGGAGGAATGTCTCAACCGATCGATTTTTTTGAGTGTACAAGACTCTCCTGCATTCATTGACGGATTTTGCCTGGCTGGACGAGTCATAAATAAAAATAGTGAAGAGCTGAATGTTTTCAAAATCATTATTAGAAATTTCGTTACTCGATGAAAGCCTCAAAAATTTTCCAGTTACTTAAATCATTCTCCAATTAATTCCAGATATTCCACGCCTTCGTCTTGCCTTCGCCGTAGAAAGACGATACGGAGTCACAACCTGTAAACGCATGGAAAAATGTCAGTGCGTTGCGCATATCCGGCGAGATTTTCGATGTTAATTTAGAAATTTGGATCAAACTCCTATTTTTACCAACTCCATATTCTACGAACAGGTCCTGCAAACCGAATTCTTTCAAAATTTGGAACATAGAAGTTGCAATCACGATGATTTTAGAATCCACAGTACTGAGCAGTGCAAACTTATGACCACATAGAACAGCATTCTTATGCAGCATTCTTCAATATGAATGAAAAGTCTAGTATCTGCCTCCTCGTGGAAACACGGTGAAATATCGGCGCTTGAAACCAAATTTCCAGCTGAAACGATCGATACACGTCATCAGTGCAAATGACGATCTTACCCATTGTCTCCATAGATTTGATGTCTTTGTGCGAGTAATTGAAATAACTGAGTCTTGTCACGATCAACTTGCAAGAAATGGCCAAAATTTTTCGGTAGAGGCGTTGAACCTTTTACGAGAATTTCTCTTCCGGACCCTCTTTTCTCTCTTGTTTCGCTGATTTTAAGCTATTAAAGGCGGATATCTGTCGAAAACAATATCAACCCTGTCAAAGCTCTGCAGTTTGCGCTTAATTGCTGACTGAAAAACTTTTATGGAGAATTCGGGGAATGTTATAGCATTTGATTTATCGAAGGTATGCACCAACACAGCTCCATCAATTACGTTAGCGGTGCACGGGTTTACACAAGTTTCCAAGTCATTTGAATCTGAGCCGCTTAGAACCCTACATCCAATGATACCGCTAAAGTCTAAAATGAACCAAATTTCAAATTAGGTTTCCATTAAAAAGAAATAGATCGATAAGGCACTTATTTTCCACCCACTTGTATTCAAATTGTTTAGCAAAAGTTTATTTCTGAATTAAACTTACCTATTTTCTGTCAAATCTGTCTATATCTACCAACCTTCCCGAGCACAGCAAGTAAAAAGGCAGGAAGATCCAAGTGTCCAGTTATTAATTGCTTGATTACCAGAGGGCGCAACGCCTCGGGTGATGACGCGCGCCCGCCGGTACAGCGAGTTTTTTGCAAGACAGCTGAGGAGCAGAGGAGCGCGCAGCGGCGCGGCGGGCCTCCCCCTCCCCCCCTCCCTTCTCTCATATTATTCACGTATGAGTACTTCATTCATACCGCTTTTTCACGCTGAATTTTTTTTAACTAAGAAAATTTTTTGATATCTGCCGCCGTTTGCGAGATATTTTAAAAAATCCCGATTTTGGCCGCCATTTTCCAAGATGGCGGCCAAAAGGGGGAGGGGAAACGGGGGAGCGCGGGTGGCTCCCGGTGGTTTCTGAATCAGGAGGGTCTAACGGTCATTTTAAGACCAAAATCACGTTGGTAGCCGGAAATCGCGTATCATCGTGCATTTTTGAGCTAAGCGACCGCACTATACTGAGAGGACTTACTACTTTCTTAGTAAGCAGGGGTGCAGAAACTTTCCAACCACGCGACGGGCCGTTTGCGTGAAATGGGGGAACCCATGTGAGGACGAAAAAATTGGGGCAACCTTGGGAGGGTTTTTTTTTGGGGGGGGGGGTTTAGGGGAACCTAACCGTCAAGCACGCTGTTTCTGGGGGAACAAAACTGTTGACCGCGCTGTTTTGAGGGAACCCAACTGTCGACCGCGTTACTTTATGTGTCGGGCAAAATTCTGCGGAAACTTAAAATGGGGGAACCTAAAATTTTGGGGGAACCCTTGGAAGTTTCTGCTCCCCTGTAGTAAGTACTTAGAAGCATCATTGTCTTTTTCATTTTTTTCCTCTCAAACCTTATGGCCTGACCAATAATCTGACCGAGGATGCCTTTTTTTAAGTAGGATTTTCTTCCAGTAAGTGACGGTCGCATGGCGGCTACAGTGCAATAATTAGTAAGATTGGTTTTCATGCATTTCAGAAATCTTGGCAAAAGAAGTACTGCCTTCTTTTCAAATCGAGCAAATATGGCATTGAACGCTTGGAATTGTTCGACAGCAAGGAGGATGTTGTTTCCAAAGTCTCCTCTGCTCCCATCATCACCCTGGAGAATTGTATCAAGATCACCCGAGATGCTCAAAAACATCAACCTCACGTTTTTGTTGTAAGTTGAGCACAGTCATTTTCACGTGTCAACGTCACAGCTAAAGATGAAGCCGCCCTTCTAATTGGTTAATGGTTTCGAGGGCAAACCGAGACCCTTTTGAAATTTAAAAAGGAGCGAGAAAGGTTGTGAGGTTCCCTCTTATTTTGGCTCTAAAAACTCGTAACTATTGACTTTCTATTTTTCAATATGTTTTTCTATCAATGTTCGGCTGTTACTGAAAATAATTTGAAAGTTAAAAATATATATTTAATACAACAACAACTTTTATCTCAACCCGTCCCGTTTTGAAGGCTTAACCATGTTAAACTTCGTTCTGCGCGTCAAAAAAGCAGAAATTGGAGAGTCATGGTAACTTATGTTCAGTTATATGACTCTCGATGTTAGTTTGAGTGATAATGTAGGTCTTCATACAGGTTCCATCATGAAATGTACTTTTTTTTGAACAGCGCACTAGTCCATGTACTTTTTTACGTCACAGCCACTCTTCAAGATGGCTGCCTCGCAACTACCTTCTGTATTTTCTCCATGGGTACATGGACCGGCGGGGGGGGGGGGGGCGGCGGCTCAACCTCGGATTGCACGGCAAAACCCGTACCCTCCTGACGTCACAACGCTTCAAGATGGCAGCTAGAATCGAAATGCGACCACGATTCTTTATCCGCCTTGACTAATCACAGTGCCAACTCAGAGTCATTTTGGAGTCCCGGACACGACTTACAAAGAAGAAGAATAAATTTTTTTGTGTTGTTTAACGGGAAGAAAGCCCAGAAGTTTCATTCCTGCGATTCGAACTTGGGAAAAATCCCGTGAAACGTCCCGTGGAGACAAGACGTAGTTTAGTGTGAGAGCGCGGCGCGGTGAGGAAGCCCGTGGTCGGGAGAGTGGCGGGGCAGGGACACTGCCCACCCGACGTCGGGAGAGGGGGCGGTCGTCGTGCCGCGGGAAGGGGGTGGCTGCCGCTCGCGCGGCGCGGCGCGCAGGAGGGAAATTTTCGGCACGAATTTCTGGTACTTTATTAGCTTTATCAGGTGTAGAGATGTTTTCTTAACCAACATTCACACAGATCGCAATTTGTGCAAGTAACTTCCAACGAAGATATCAACTTTTTTATGCATAGATACAAACTTCTTTCTCATAAAAAACCATCACTTATTTTATTAAAATATCTTACTAAATGTTTTCATAACAGTCTTTGCAGTAGAAAAATATGGTAAAGCCTTTGTCGTTCTTTGGCTCATTTGTCGCATGTTCTTTGCACTTCAAAGAACACAGGCAAGGAACACTGCTCGATTAATATGGAGCTTCCCATAATCGTAGTACTGCACTCTTAGATTTATGTTGACTCAGGTAGGTAGGTACTTTTTCTTTTAAGCGGGGAAATCCAATTTTCTGCAACCAGTGCTAAATATTGACGTTAATATCTTCATGAGGAGCTAATTTTAGGAATTTTTTGTTCACAAATCGTTTTCTATGTGAAATTTTGAACAGGAATTATGTATCAGAATGCGCAAAATATTCGTATCTTGTCTTGTGGTCCATTGCTTTTTGATGGAACCATCGGAGATTGAAAATAACAGAAATTTCATGCAGTAAATGTCATAGAGAATCTGTGGAACTACTCACTTGATATTGTAATGGGGGGATGAAAAGATCCAACGCGTGTAGTCAAATGGTAGAGCTGATCAATATAATCGATAATGACACGACAGACACTAGATACACCTGGCTAAGGTGATCCTCTATTCGCGGCCCGATGATACGACCCCGCGCCGCGGACCTCAGAGTATATATCTTACAAAGTAGCATCCGGAAGAGCAATAACGTCAGAGATGTCAGTGCGATGACCAATGCTCCAAGGTAGATGATCTGAGACGCCAAAATGCACGCCTGAGCTTGCGCCCACGAAAGCAACGGCCCTCGCCCCAAGGCAATGGATGCATCGTGAAAATGCGAACACAGAACCGCAGGTGATATGGTACGCCCTTCCACGACAATATCGTTGTAAGAAATGTATTGTCAATTTTTGAAATTTTAAGAAATGGTCTGATGGAAGTCTGACTGGAGTCTCAGGGAAAAACAGAGGAAAGAAAAGTAGTATGCTGGAGCAAAAAGAATCAGATTGTGACTTGACAAAGGAGACTCAGCTGAGAAAAAACACAGAAATATCAACCAAACCCAGAGCCGGTCTTTGAGTTTCTAGCACCTCATGCGAGACATCGAATAACTCCTCCCCCTATGGTGGGTTGGGAAGAGAGGACCCAATCGTAATTGAGGAGTTGAGTGTGAAAAGTGCATTTCTTGAAAAACCTTTTTTGAGGTATAAGCAATTGAAAGTTTGAATGTTTGCCAGATGTTGTTTAATTATTTTTTCCACGAAAATTTCCCAAAGAAGGTGCTGATGGTTGCAATTCCTTCTTGAAAGTAATTTTGTGTTGAAAAAATAATTAAAGTTGCCGAATAAGGTGCTCTTTCTGCATAGAACTAAAAAAATCATTCAGATTAGTATCTCTCAATTAAGTCAACTTTCTTCATACGTATTGAGTCCTTTTAGTCAAACTCAGCCCCCTCTTCTTCCGAATCACGACTTTCACCAGTCATACCTCTTTACCCTTGCACTTTTTTATATGTATATTGCAATCGTCCGTAACAGGAAAAAAACCCACTATTTTCAGTCCTCTCTGCACGGGCGCAATATGTCCCGCACGTCGCCTGTATAGGCTCCGTCTCTCGACTGTTTGTAAACCAACGTAAATATCTATATTGTGGATTTTATCAAAATACCCGCAACTGGGTAGGTGAATGAGCCTTTGTTTTTATCAGTATCGTCGGCTGGCTGTAAGCGGCTGTTGCCGACGCCAACAGTTGGACCGACGGCACAGTGCGCCGACAAACTTGAGCTGCGTGCCGATATATGAACGCGCTCACCCAATGCAACACGTCGCGACTGCAATACGTCGGTACTCACTCCTATAAAGTAATTCATCTCGTGCTCAATTATTATCCGATTGAATTCCTATTTAGTCCGATGGTAGTTGGGGGTATGAGGAATGCGTAGAGATGTTTTACGCAAGAAATGCCCTTTTTACACTAAATGCCTCAATTTCTGCCTGGAAAATTGGGAAATCTCAACATTCAATGCTATTTTAGGATATTATAAGTTAGATTCACCTCCTTCTAGAACCCCCCCCCCCTCCAGAGGGAGGGACTCTTGAAATGTAATTGACTCACTTTGTGTATTATGCCACTTTCATTCAATTGGACACGAACTGCAGCCCGACCACGGACTTCTCACTTCCATCGATATTGATAGAACTAGACTCCATTGCAATGGAATACCCTTCGAGGGCGACCACGGACCTTGATCTATAAAAACGGCCTTTGGAAAGCTGTTCCATCGCGCATGGGTCGATGGAACTGCTCGATTCCATCGAAATTAAGGTTAGGGTTCTTCTATTGTTCACGTACTTCTCACTCGTCGGTCGTCGAAGTTGATCTGGTTCAAGTTATTGGTTGAAACCGGAATTTTGTGGTTAGTGTATCTCCCGCCATTAATGTTTTCCAACCTGCTTCTTCTTCTTTGATGAATGCATCGAGGACGGTGATTGGTTGAGAACAATTTCCTCTTTTTCGGTTAATCGTCTAACATCGCACGCCTTTCCATCGCCGTTCCATCGAGGTCCGTGGTCGCAAAAATTCTAGCGATGGAACTGCTATGGAACAAACTCCCACTTCCTTCACCAGGCTCTCACTGGCCCAATGACGATGTCAGTGGCATCTGGCATGATAGTAGCTCCCAAAAATGTATACATGTGCAAGCAAGATTCCAAGTCTCAACCCGCGTTTTTAGGAGCAGGTACTCCAGTCCAGGATCAAAATTTTGCCAGCCCTGAGTATCCAACTCACTCAATGTAACTGCAAGATATCTCGACAAATCCTAGAGCCAGGTCATACAGGGCGTTTTCATTTATGTAACCAGAAAAGAGCAAAATTCAATCCAAAGCCAACTGGAGATATTACCCCGAGTAAGGGATTTAAAAGGACGACGCTGTCACTTCTGTTATCCTTCCCAATTATAATATAGGCAAAAAAAAATGTCCTCTCAGGGAAAAGGAACGTAGAAGGCCTAACCGAGGCTGTTCCTCAGCCTAAAAAACGCTCTCCAGCCACAGTGGAAACGAAATGTGGATTTCGACTAATCGGCTCTATGAAAATAGCTGTGCTTAAAAAGCCTGACAGGTCGAAAAATCGTCCCCCTTGAACTTGAGATTTTCAGGATAAAGGGCGGTTTTAGAGGGTGGGTGAAAAAAGGTTGCTTTGAAGGCCATGACGAGACGAGTTTTTCGAGGTATCGCCGACTGAGATCGGACGAGTTTGAAAAATCATCCCCCTTGGACTTGAGAATTTTCGGATAAGGGGTGGTTTCAGAGGGTAGGTGAATACAGGTTGCTTGAAGGCCATGACGAGACGAGTTTTTTGAGGTATCACCGATTGAGATTAGAAGAGTTCGAGAAATCACCCCCCCCCCCCCCCNCCAGTGACCGTGACGTTACTGAACTAAAGAATAGGCCGATTTTCACCAAAAATGAAACTTGATGTAGACCTCCTAGCAGTGAAGAACTATGCTTAGTTCCGTTTTGATCGTATCGATAGTTCCGGAAAGAAACGGTCGCAAACGTTCGTTAGATCCCAGTGATAAATATATACAGGGTGATCCAAAAGTCCCTTCCACCCCCTCTAACTTTTTACCTAATTGAGGTAAAGATTTGAAACTTAGGGGATATTTCTAGGTCAAAGGAAGCTACTTTTTGGCCCCCCTAAAATTTTCAGGGGGGCCCCCCTTGGGGGGGGGCAACGGCCCCCAACTTTTAATTTTCAAATGAGAAGACCCCCTTTGTGATAGCTCGTTCGAAAGAGCATAAAAAGAGAAAACTTTTCGCGCAAACCTGAAGTCAATATTTCAAACCGTTTCAAAATGGCGGCCGGTTAAAGTTCAAAATGAACGAAAATTCACACCGGTTATTTGTCGATGGATTCGCGCGAAAATCGGTATGTAGGGGTATTTTGACACGAGAAAAACGAATTTGACGTTAGATTTTCAAAAAAACCGAAATTTCCAAAATGGCCGCCGGTTAAAGTTTATTAAAATGGCCGAAAATTGTCACCTCGGTTTTTTGCCGATGGATTTGCCTAAAACCTGGAATTTGAGAGTATTTTGGCATAAGATAAACAAATTTGAACTTAGATTTCTAAAAAAATCAATTTTTGGTCATTTTGAACTTTAACCGGCGGCCGTTTTGGAAATTTCGGTTTTTTTGAAAATCTAACGTCAAATTCGTTTTTCTCGTGTCAAAATACCCCTACATACCGATTTTCGCGCGAATCCATCGACAAATAACCGGTGTGAATTTTCGGCCATTTTGAACTTTAACCGGCCGCCATTTTGAAACGGTTTGAGATATTGACTTCGGGTTTGCGCGAAAAGTTTTCTCTTTTTATGCTCTTTCGAACGAGCTATCACAAAGGGGGTCTTCCCATTTGAAAATTAAAAGTTGGGGCCGTTGCCCCCCCCCCCAAGGGGGCCCCCCTGAAAATTTTAGGGGGGCCAAAAAGTAGCTTCCTTTGACCTAGGAATATCCCCCAAGTTTCAAATCTTTACCTCAATTAGGTAAAAAAATAGAGGGGGTGGAAGGGACTTTTGGATCACCCTGTATTTATATAAATATCTCTATTAAATTGGCCGTTAATTAATACATCTCAATAACATAGGTACCATCATGCTTTCAACTTTGTTGTATTATTGTTCATCCGCAACGTTTCAGCTACTCATATGAGCCATCTTCAGGCGATTTCACTTAAAACTACACTAAAACTACAACTACAAACTAGGATAAAAGGTTAAAATTAAGTTCCATGCTATGGCATTTTCGAACTGGTTACGAACCGCACAAAATTGTAAAATTGCGAGCTCGCACGCGACCGGGTTAGGTATGCTGTTACGCGGTTATGCTGTTCATATAAAAATATATCGTACTTTTTTTATGAGCTACATTTTTCAACTCAGGGCTTCAGGATCGATGCTCTTAGAGCGAAAATTCCCGGAAATCACGAGATCGTACCGTCTGCAACAGGTAGATATTTCTTTGAAATCTACCTAAACAGGTGAAGTGTAAACAATGTAGGTACAAACATCTCGTTGCATTCACCAAAAAAATGAAAAACCCAAAACACCTCCAGCGCTCCCCTTCATTTTGAAGCTGCTTTTTTGTCCTAGCAAGATGAACCGTCAACAATAAATACAAATATTTCATTCCTAAAAAGAGGGAAAAAAGAGAAAAAACTCTATGTGTCTCCGGTGCCACCTCTTTTAAAGCAGACGTTTAACCTGCATAAAACAAAGTGTCAACAATGAAGAGGAAAAAATCCATTTCATTGCATTCTCTAAAGGAGAAAAAAAAATGAAAAACCGGAGCGCTGACTGATGTTTCCAAGGATGTTCCCTTTTTAATGTTACTGTCAAGTTATAGCAAGACGAGGTGTCAACAATAAGCAAATAGCCTAAAGCATTTACAAAAAGTTAAGAAATTAAAAACCAGAACCTCTCGGTGGCCTGTACACAGAGATGGAAAATATCATGAAATGTTTTGAAACTTTTGGGAATGCATGCCGGAGGCCAAGAAACGCCTGAAAACAGTGATTCTCGATTTTGACATCTTTCACCCCAAGCCCAAAACATTCATGCGTTGCAAATGTTTTGGGCTAAATTTCTCTTGATACTCCCCTTCGGGCCTCCCTTCGTATATAGCACCTCAGTAGGGTAGCATAATAGTGCCGCATAAGGAAGACCATCTGAAACGATTTCCGGACTTCCGAAGGTTTAATTATTAATTTCGATAAAAATTAACAAATTTCAAATTTTTCCAAATTTATTCGAGCCCTCTGAAATTTCACTTTCCATCTCTGCCCGTGCAGCCGCATGGGTTGCCCTACTTCAAATCGGGCTTTGACCCTAATTAAAAAGATTGAATCTGAAAGAGAGCCTCACCAGGCGGCCGATATTTGAAATTTTGTGTTTCTCTGGTGGACAAGACAAAACAAAGAGGGAATGGAGCTATGTAATCCGTGGATTATCTCGTTTGGTTGACTGGGATCTGCATCACAAGCTTCTTCTCTGGCAGAATAATCAACTGACAATAGGCACCCTTGTTAGCTGACAACCAGCGGATCATCGGGCCCGACAAGGAACTTGCTTCATGGATCTCAATTGACTGACTGAGATAGTCGATCAATCGTAAAGCCTCAGCTTTCCGTAGTCTTGTCTTGTCTATCCATGAATAACCTTCAATTTCGGTGGTTGTCATAGAATTGAGTAAAATGAAATGTGGTTTGGCTCTCTACAACCATCACACTCCTTGTTCAGAAGTTCTCAGCTTTAAGTTAATGATGACTATCGAGGCATGGTGATCCGTATCAGAGGAAATCATAGTACAGTCAGCCTGTGGCCACTAAGTTGTTCAACAAGCAAATCGATTTTTTTGCAAAGGATTATGAAGCGTGAAGATTTTATAGATATGTATCCTATCGTCGAATTCTATGATTTTTCTTCTTCTTTTTCCTCAGTTAGTGACGAAAGTCAGCATTCATCATTTTGCGGCTAATTCAGAGGATGAAATGGACGAGTGGCTCTCAGCTTTCCAGGCAGTTGCATTCAAAGACAATGTATCAAGGCAAACAGTCGAAGAAGACAATGACCTCTACTGTTCCTCAGGAGATGGTAATGGTAACCCTTATAAATTGTTCAGTAGGGCTGGAGGCAAAAAATGGATCAAGAAACCACAAGAAACAGATGGGGAGAAAATAGATTATTCTGTTGTTTGGCAGCTGCGCGTGTTGTGCGAATGTTGTGTGCCTCTAGGGTTACCCAAAACCTGAAAGATTTTCTGAGTCATTTTGTTAACGAGTAATAATTAAGTTTCTTTTTATTTTTTGTCTCAATTGTTCATCATGGTTCATTTTTCTGTTTCCGTGTGTGTATAAGCGATTTCATTCTGGATACATACTCTCAATTTTGTCTCATATCCTGTATCATCGAGAAAGCTCAAAATTTTTGGCTAGAGACTGGTGCTTTTTCCCATTTGTCGAAATTTGCTCCTAACATGAAGTATTCTTTTTCTTCCTTACAGTTGGGGTATTTGAGGTGAGACTATCCAAATCTGATGCATCAGTTCGATGTGGTTTGGAACCTGGATCTTACACTCTTGTTGTTGCTCCTTCAGCTCTCCAACTGAGAAGCTTGAAGGATCAGACTCTTTTATTCACCTGGCCGTACAGATTCATTCGTCGCTATGGAATGCATGCTGGTAAGATTACTTTTGAAGCTGGCCGCATGTGTGATAGTGGTGAGGGTGTGTTCTATTTTGAATACTCACACCAGCAAGAAATATTCCGGTGCCTTTCCTTGAAAATGAAAAGTATGAAAAAACTATTAAATGGAGAATCTTCATCTATCATATGTGGTGAGAACCAATTTCAAGCTGCTCTGTCAATGATGGCAAGATCTCGGAGTCCGTTGCCACCCTCCTCCGCCAGCACCACATCTTTATTAGACTCCGATGCTTGCAGCATTCCTTCCATTAAGTCTCTAATGCCTATTAAAAATCCCCCTCCTCCCCCTCCTTTAAAACCAAAACCAAAGAAACCCCCGAGAAAGCATATACTACCAAAACCAAGTATTCTTAGCGAGAATAAGTCTTCCATCAATGTTGCAGTAGATGCAGGCAAAGACTTTAATGACACTCAGAATTATGATGACATTGAGGTGAGGAATGAAGCCTGGAAAACTCTCGGTATTGATACCATGACCCACTCTGAAAACCCTTTTATCTCAGACGTGACCAACTCAAGCTCTCAGTTGTCTGATATGTCGCAAACAGAGTTGCCCAAGGTTTTTATTAAACCTAATGCAAATATTGCTCACGATGATTACAATACCTTGCAACATTTTGGTCCAACTTTGAAAATGAATGTAAGTGGTTATGAGCAGCTAAATAAATTTTCTAGTGGAAGTGTCCTCGGATCAGTTAGAGATGATGATATGCAGGCCTGTCGGTTAGCAGATGACTCTCACTATGGATATGGAATAATTCGGAAGAAAACAAGTAATATTAAAAAATATGATGTCTGTAATGATTTAGAATACGCAGTTGTACACAAGCCAAATCGAGTCTAGTCACATTAGAATCAATTCAGTAGTTTGTGGTATTCAAATAAAAATTCAGTTTGAATACCCCTTCCAAATGAATGATCAGGTTTTTTTTTAGATGTAATGGCACATAACGACAATGAATTCGTCAAAAAAGTTGGAATTTCACTCATTAACTCACCTCCTAGTCGGTAGCACTGGTCAGTGGTTTTCCAATTTCCTGCGTTCGCAGTCTTTGTTGTTACCAACTAGGTTTGCTGTTATCAGCTTTTCTCATGTGTTATTTCTGTTATAAAGCATATCGACGGTGTAAGTCGGCAATCACATAACCCATTTGCGGTGTCTAAAAATTTCCGCCTCTATGTTATTTTTTTAAAGGAGAACAAATTGACATCATTCCTTGAAGTTTTTGCAGAATTTTCTTCGCACTGAGAAAAAAAATCACGGCAGTTTTGAAGAGTTGCCGTTGAGTAGTCCCGTTTAAAAAATAAAGTATGACAGGAAGTCTGCAACGTCGCAAACCGAGTTATGTGATTGCCGACTTACACCGTCGATGTTTTCTCCCCTTGGAGAAATGAAAGTTAAAACCAATGCTTTGAAACAACTGAAATCATATGCTCTTCAGATCGGAAACAGTTGGTAAATGCAGAAAATTTGAAAACATACGTTACTAATTAGGCCAATCGTGCATTAAGAAGTGGATTTCAAATATTTTGATACACTCATCATAATTTTAATGTGATTTTACCTGTGAAAAGTCTGTTGCTCCATCTGTACCTCCCGTGCGCAAAGGGCCCATCGTTGGGGCTATTTTGCCTAGAAGCGTAAGGGTCATTCTATGTCAATTCAACCAAAAAAATGAGAAAATGGCACCCACTGACTCGGATTTTCTTTATATATATATATATATATATATTTTACTTAATCTAGAGAACAATGTAAGGGAAAGTACCAATATTTAGCTCCATATGTCGAATACTTTTTGAGAAAAAAATTATTGAAGTTTTATCGCCTTTCGTTAAAATGCACTCTCCAGATTCCAAAAACGGCAATACCTTGCCTTCGAAAAAGCCTCATAATTTCTTCAGTTTTGAAGACTTCAAGCTGAAATTCGGTACACTGGTCCATGGTAATGTGTATTCGAAGGGAAAAGTTTCCACTTGAATGTAACATACCCTGGAGCACAAAACGAGCTGAATATACACCCTTTTTGCCCTGATTTTTGGCTGTTGTACCTTGATCCCTTAAAATGAGCATAACTATGTTAGCTTACAATATATTTTAAATTTTTTTTTTTTTTAAATCATAGTTAGGATGTGCTCTAACAGTATCTGAAGTAAAAACCCTGGGTATTTCACTTTTTCTCTGTCAAATCGCCCTCTGAAGCGAAAAATGCATGAAAAAAATAAAAAAAGCAAGTTTTTGCAGTTGTTTCCCAACAAATCCTGCAAGCTTAGCATCTCATCCAAAATTCTTTCTGTTTCCACTAATTTTGCTCTATGAATCCTTGGCTTTTCTTACCATCCACACTTGTAAGTTGTAACCACTCATTGTAGCAAAGACTGCATGAAAAAGTAGAAAAAACTCCGCCAATACTTTTCCCGACAGGTCTTGATTGGTGTAAAGTCCTCCATTGTCTGCAGGTCTCAAGCCCTTCTCGGATGATTCGTGCAAGTTTTACACTCTGAGCGGAACTCAAACAGTTGGGGTTGGCTTTAAGATGTAATCAAACACAAACTAATACAATGCCACTCTATAGGATTAAAATACCATTAACACATGACTGTGAATTGTTATCAGGCTTATATTTTGAAAGACTCTGAGCTATACTGAAGGGTCTCCACGGACTATTGACAAACATTTTCTGAAATATGTTGTATTAAAGATCAAATTTAACAGAAAGGGATCGATTCTCATCCACATGGAACTGAGAGAGATTGGAGTCCTCATTTCTCTGTAAGACTTAATGTCACAGGTGAAGTTCAACGCCTCCTTTCACATTCAAAGTATTTTTCTGAATTTTGAATTTTTGTGGGGAGATATTATGTGGCTAGCTGTGCTCATGACCACTCTTAATTAATTTTTTCCTGAAATGTGACTTTGTTCCTACCAGTTTAATTCAGTTGATGGTTAATATTTTTTTATCTTGTAGGGTTGAAAGCATACAAAAAACTTAGGAAATTTACTTTGGAGCCATAGTTCATCACATATATATGTCTTTATTTTCATAATTCAATAAAACAAGAACAAAACTAAAATGCAAGTAAAGTGATACACTAGGAAAACTGAGCTGTTATTGCTTCTGAGTGAAACTGACAAAAATTGAACTGGTTGTGACCATCACACTGCCTTACACAAAAAATATAACCAAGTTCAAATCTCACCATTACTTAAACGTAAATATTAGAAACAGCAATATTTTAATGAGGTTGAATAATAATGCAGGTTTATTCTCCTTCTCTCTTATTTTTAGAATAATAATTTTATGTAAGTTAAAGTAATTATTTTTAAAGAATGGAGTGCAGCAACATTTTTGTTGAAAGAGAAAAAAAAACTTTTATAACTTAATCTTGATGAATGTTCTCACAAAAGGTAAAAGCGCAACGAAAATTATTTCTCCACCAAAAATGAATCTTTCTGGGAAAAAATGTATACTCTGCCAGAGCCTTTTGTAACACAAGCAATGATGTTCGGCAGCGGGTCAAAACAAACGTCATCTCTAATGGGAGGCCAATAAAAAGAAGGAGAAGGGCCAAATGGGTACATAAATTTGATCAGAACATCTTCCTTATCTTCATATTTGGATAGAACAATACCGTAAAAATAATGATCATCTTAGGGACATGCTACATAAGCATTGATACAGATTTCACTCATTTTAGCAGTCAAAAATTCTTGCTCTCTAATAAAATCAAAAACACTGCTGAAAACTGGGTTATAACTTATTCTCTTGGATCCAATTGACTTAGCTGACGATGGTTCAAAGTAATGAAAGCTCCTTTTTCCTGGAACTGTTTTGGCTGAAGAAAATCGGGTTAGCAATTGTTAACGTGACTCTGACATTTTTTCTGATGGAACAAACCAATACTTAACATTTTCTATGTTTGTGCTATATAGAATTTTCATACCTTCATAGCTGAAACAACATTATCCCCGCCGCGCCGTCTATTTGAAGACTTGCTCTCCTTAATAGGCGTTTTGTGGTCCCTCCACCACCATCGCACGGTGATTTACCATGGCTCGTTGCGAAAAATGACCAACTAGCTGTAAGATTAAAATCTTCACCATGGTGACATCAGTTGAGGAAATTTTTATAGTTTTTATATTGTCCAGTGTAGCCATCGCTGAAATAATAAATATGCTGGCCAGTTGGGAAGTTTTTAGTTTTAAAGTCAACAATAATTATTTGAGTTTTATACAAAAATCCTATATCATGCTCTAAATCATGAGATATTTTGCACATGCTGCTTTTCACAGACTCTTCTTCATCACTATGGGTGTAAATAACAGCAGGATGTAATGAACAACTTTCATGTGACCCATAGGCCCCTTGAGCTTCATCCTGTATACAATATAAATAATTTTGACTAAAACCAAGGAGTACAATAGCCTCAGTTGATTTGAGTTGTGCTTTTGTCTCTTTTAGAAATTTTGCTTTTTGTTTAGTGATAAATGAATGGGGAATCAACTCTTCAAGTCGCCTTACTAAAGTGTCGATGTAGTCTTCAAGAGACACATTAAATGTTGCATGTTGAGTTTGATTCCGTCGAAATCCATTTATTATACATGATCTCATCCTCAGGGCCCCATTCATCAAATTTTTCGATGAGAAACTTTCTCAGTTTCTCTCTGCTTGGACAATTGTTACAGTGTCGGAACATACAGTCCTTACTGACCTTAGAGCAAATGAGGTAATCAATTAATTCATGATATAATTCTTCGATTTCACAAGCGGAGAGTAATAATTTAACATTTAGGTGAATAGTACAAACACAAACATTGTGAGTCCCAGCAACACCGCTAAGGACGCACTATTTTGGACGTAAAGCATAACATTTAGAAAAACCAACTTTGCAGTTAGGATTTTGAAGAATATGGCTCATTTCAGTCTTTTCTGCTTAGAAATATTCTTAGAAACACTAACTTTGCCTTTTTTGCTGGGTAAAATCCTTGAATAATCACCTCTTTCATTAAAGTTTACTATACAATCTTCTGCCTCTTGTTGGAGTTTTTTACCCCTCCTTGGTGGGGTTAGAGCAAGCAAACCCTCTAGTTGAAGAAATTTTTTTGCTTGACGCACAGAATAATTGCTCACTTGAAAAGTTCTCATTGTTTCCTTAGTTTTCTGAGAAGGCGCCAAGAACAATAGCTGGATTTTCTCTCTTGGAGAAGGTAAACGAATTTTTCTCTTTGACAAATCGACAAAAGCATCTAAGTCTGAGGTTTTTTGTTTGACTTTATGAGAGATAATAATCTCAGGCTGATGCGGCATGATGTCACAGTTCTGAACCGTGGACATTTTATTACCTAAGGCACGACGTACAGAATCAATTTTCTTTTTTCCAAGAACTGGCTTTCAATGTGAAGAAAGACTGTGAAGATTAATGGGTGATTGACTTATTAAGTATTTACGAGTGCAGTGTTAACTTTGCATGAGGTCTCTTCTCTGCCACTTTCATCCACAAAATCAGGAGTGGCTTGACTCCGTGCATAGTATCCAAAGTAGTATTTTTCATCTCAATCAAATTTTATCATACACCAGGTAAGGAATTTTTGATTACAAACAATTGTTTTATCTATTGTTACTCTCCGTTAAGCATTTTAAAGTATTTTTTTTAACTTTTAATTTTAAAATTTCTTTCCTTATATATGGTAAAATTTGATTTGAGTGTTTACAATTGGAAATATACTATTTTGGACTTAATGTTAAGCAAGTACATACCTACGTGAGTAAATAGGCACGTTAGGGATGAGCAAGTTTTCAAAGTAACTACTTGCAGGGAAGATAATATATCTCTTTTAATAATCATGGTTTCTTCCCCAGGAATGCTCCAGAAGAATTTGTTCTTTTCTTTTCTACATTATCTGGGGGAGCAGGA